CATGAAGCATGGATAAGTTGGGAGGAGTCTTAAATAGGGACTGATGTGGGGATATGTTACCAAGAATAGATGATGGAAGAAGGTTGATAAGATGTACAACAATGTTGACTGCCTCTACCCAAAAGGTTCCTGGAACATGAAAATCAAGGAAGGTTCTAATAATACTTAGGATATGGCCGTTTTTTGCATTCAACAAGTTCATATTGTTAAGTGCCAAGACAGGACTTTTGAGATTGTATACCATGGTGTTGTAGGTAGGCTTGAAACTCTCCATCACTGTACTCTACTCTTGAATCTGAATGGAGAGTATTAGTGGTGGCGTTAAATTTTGTGGTAACTCTGGCATAAAATAATTTAATTATAACAAATGTATCTGATTTATTTTGAAGAAAGTATATCCATGTATAATAGGTATGGTCATCAATAAATGTTATAAAGTATTTAAAACCCATCCTACAAATTACTAGAGACAACCAAACATCATTGTGCAATAACTGAAATAGTGCAGTAAAATGAGTAAAAGAAATAGGAAATGATAAAACATGGTTTTTATTTAAACAACAAGACATGCAAGGTCTTATCCATATTCTTGTAAACAAAGAAGATAATGATAAACATCCAGATAAAATAAGTCAAGTTTCTTTGCAAAAGGATGGCCTAAACGACGATGCCAAATGTTCCAATCATTATTACAAGACAAAGAAGTAGTAGAAAGTAAACAAGAACTAGTTGCCAAAGAAGCATGCCTCTTCTGAAATTCCAGAGCAAATAGCCATCCTATCCTGCCCCTTCCCCTTCACCTCCCTAGTGCATTTGGCCTTGTATCGAACAACCATCAAGTGAGAAAGTGACAGTATGATCATATTCAATTGGTGGTAAGTCTAGGAATAAATAATGTTTGTGGTAACTTGAAGGGAGAAGTGCAAGAGTTAAATAAGGTGAGATCATTACAACCTACAATATCAAGTTTTTCACCATTGGCTATAACAATGTATTTGCTAGAGGGAAGAGGATAGGATGACTGACCACATGTAGTTTCTGTCATATGATTGGAAGCATCGGATCAATGATCCAAAGATGACTAGGAAGAGAACAATAGTAGGCACACTTACTAAACAAGTCGAAAAGCAGAAAGTGTAGAGGAGATTGTCGAGGACATCAACTGCCAAATTTTCTCTTTAGTCATAACATTTGTAGTGTCATTCTTGATCTAAGATATGGAAGATGAAGCATCATTTGATCCCTTAACCGAAGTCTGATAAGCCTTGTGATCTCTTTTTCCCACTAGATTTCCTTTAGGTGGTCTTATGGGACATTCAGTGATAATGTGACCAAATTTCTTGCACTAAGTACAAGTATTTTCCTTCTTACAATGGGATATCACATTACCACATTCTTTGCATTTGCAACATTGCACCCTAGATAAGTCATTCTTTGGTTTGGACTTATCTATTGCTAAAAATACAGTATACTGTGCCATTCTTGGCACTCATAGCTGATTGAGCTATTATCATAATTTGCTCCTGAGTAATTCACCCAAAATAGTATCAAGTGATGGTACAATGTTTTTACATAAAATGTTTGATCTTATTACCTCATACTTATGTTGGAGATGTATCAAAAAGTGCATTACTTTCCTTTTGTCAAAATGTTCCTTCAAGGTTTTAATACAACAAGCTAAGAACATTTCACTCATGTGAATAAACTCATACTCTTTCCAAAGATTGATGAACCCCACGTAGTATTCCTAAATTTTCCTTTCACCTTATCTATAGGAAAATATCTTGGTCTGAATATATATTATTGTGAGATGCTGGACTGTTGATAAACTTTTTCTAGAAATTCGTACATCTCCTTGGCTATCCAAAGACCCCATAGGGAACATCAATAGTGACTGAGCTCAAAATCTATGATGCAATTTGGGCATTATTAATCTTCTAGATTTACAATCCTTTTGCATAAGTTATTTTAGGAATAGTAGTGGTTCCACCAATATAGCCCCACAACCCCTTATCTTCAACATAAAACTAAAAATGGAACTACCTTAAGGCAGATAGTTGGTTCCATTGAACTTGATAGGAAGAACATTACCTCTTTTAGATGCCATAGTAAAAAAATAAGAGGACAAAAATAGTCTATAACAAGCTGAGAAATCAGAAAAAATCTATTCATGGTCCAAAAAATGAAAGTTCACAAATGAACTAAATAAAGGGAGGGATCAAAACCCTAGCAAATCAACTCCAATCTTCACTAAATTTCTAAGGTTGTAGGAACAAACTAGGGTGACACCAGATCTAGAGTTTTAGAGCAAACAGATTAATCACTTGAAAGAAAACCCTAAAAAACTAAGGGTCCATTTGGTTCATAGTCGGAATCGGAATCTGAATGGTCCATTCCCATAATCTGTTTGATTCAGACAGGAATGGGAATGAGAACTAAAATCAGCAGGAATGGGATTTCATTCCCAAGGGAGGGACAGGGAATGGCCATTCCCTCAAATGGGGGAATGCCATTCCAGCAGGAATGGGAATGGGATTCCGAATCCGCCCAACCAAACAGTTGGAATCGGAATAGCCCATTCCGATTCCGATTCCAAACCCCTATTCCTGCAAATCAAATGGACCCTAACTTGAGTGGCGTCCCAGTCCAGAAAATCTAGATTTCATGTCTTAATCAGAACAGTCAAAGAGAAAGGATATGCCAGTCTAAAAAGGTTGAGAGATAACCCAACTTGATGCCAAAAATGAGAGCAAAATCTGACATCAAAGCCAAGTGGATCGAACCTACTCTGATACAATGTCAGTGAAGCAAAGAGAACAAACAGATTTAGGGTGTGTCTAATCAGTTGACCACAAGAAGAAATTAAATTTCAATTCATTCCTCATTATCTCTATCTCTACATCTGAGACAATGAATCAGAGATCCAACCAATTGAGCCACCATCAGTTGGCAGCGTTAATGGGAATTAATCATGCTAAAATTAACCAGGGAAAAGCAAATACTCATCATGTATTGGCCGAAACAAATGATACATGTAGGCACAAGTGGAATGGCCTTGAAATTGGGCCATTCCACCTATGCCATGCCTAAACCCCTAAAGAAAATTGACATGATTCAACCTACATCGTATAGATATTTTGAACCTTACCCCATCACCCATGTACTTGACTCAACAAAGTTCAGCTTCTTGTAAGTGCATATCAAGAAAATATATATTATTTACTTTGGGTGCCTTTGGTTTGAGCTTACATACTTTTATGTTACTTGAGCAACTGGGGAGGGAACTAGTTTTCCCTATTGGAAAGCTAAAGATAGAATGCAATTCTGGACTCTAAAATGATAAGGAAAAATCTATGATGCCGGAAATATATAATACCAAATAGATATTGACCAATCAAAACCCCATGAGTTTTGATGAAAATGATTGGTTACTACTTTTATGACGTTAATTGATTGGTTATAAATTTTTCTGGTATCATGTTTCTTGGCATCACAGTTGAACCAACAAGGTCACCAAATGAGAAATGGATATTATGAACTGGTATTCTGAGATTATTACGAAAAGCAAGCATTTGGGATTTGCATTATACATGCAAATGCATTGCATGACAAGACTGCAACTTGGGATGGGCTAGCCCAAACCCAACCCGGAAAAGTTGGGTTAAGGTGGGTCGCGTTGAAGTTCAAGTTAGGGTTAGAGTTGAAAAATGTGAACCTGACCTAATTTTGGGTTAGGCTAGGGTTGAGGCATTGAGCAACCCAACCCAACCCAACCCGAACCTAGCTTAGCTACATATTTGTATGTATAAATATTATAAGCATTTATTTATATATGTACTTAGTGTATGTATGTATGTATGGTAATATGCACGACTATGCATCATAAATGTCTGTTATGTATCTGTGTATGATTGTATATCAACAAGTTTAATTTTAAAGGCAAAAATTTTCAAAAGAATGGTAGTTATGTCCTTAACTTCTTGTACATATAATAATACTAAAATTGAATTTACCTCTAACCCTCGAGTCTAGAAAATAAAAACAATTGGCAAAGGGAAGTAGAGTAGGGCCAAACTAAGCCCAACACAACTTGAAAACTTTGGGTTGGGTTAAGGTTTGGATTAGGGTTGAGAGTTACACAGCTTGGGTTGGGTTAGGATTGACCTCAACCTGACGTAACTCAGCCCGACTTGCAACTAGCAGATAGGTGACCATGGGCTAGGCTTAGCACCAATGATAAGGGTTTTAAGCAAGCCCAGGCCTGACCTAGCTTACACCCCAGGCCTAGATTAGAAGCGCAAGCCCGACCCTACATGGGCTTTCCCTAATGAGTAATGATTTGATGCGGGCCCAGGCCAGGCCTAAACAAAAAAATCTAGGCCCAAGCCCAGAAAAAAATTGCAGGTTGGGCCGAGCCGAACCAAGAATGACCACTCCTAGCAGAAGTGCTTTCTCTCTCTCTAAAAAGAATAAAAAGGAAAGCCTATAGTATTAATGGCCTTTTCAGTTTTCACCTTAAAGTAAATTAAAAGTGCATTCAATCCATCCTCTTTTGACAAGATATTATAGCCTTATAGATATTTTAGTTTACAATTTAACATTACCTTTCAGTTAGTAAATCCTTGTTCTTCCATTTCATTCTACTCAATTACATACCCCTGGCTAAATTATGGGCTTCAAATAATTTCTCACTACTTCAGCCCACCCTTTTTGACTCACTCTTCAACTGGGAGCAGATTATTTCTTCTTTTAGTGCCATAAATGGTCCCTTTTGCACATGATAACCATCATAGTTTATTTTCCCTCATTTCATGACCTATTGGGGCTACCACTATATCTCCACAAACTCATTTCTACCATTTGCCTCAAACTTTTTTGGTTTTACCACTCATTCATCTTAATATTTACATCACTACCATTTGCCTCAAAAAATATTTACATCACTACCAAACTCATTCTTTTAGATATACTATTTCTTGATTTCCCAATACTGTTCTATAGTCCATACCACATTGATAGCTCCGCAGCTGTGTGCAATGGAAACAAAATACATAGAATGCACTAATAATGAACTTGGAAAAATATTGTTCCAATATAATTTCTAATAATTTTACATAAGATAAATTACAGGCTCTAGGTTGACTAATTGCTTTACATGGTTTCCAGATAAATTATAACACCAGATATACACTCTACGCTGCAAATACTAGCTAATGAAAATCCAGAGAAATCACTCTCCACTGATCATTAGGGATTGAAACGGTTCCCTCCTTATCTCCACAAGTGTAGAATAGTTCCTGTTCATTGGCTGTTTCCATGGTTCTCCATCCATCTGCATATATGCATTTCTCCACTCACCGCTTGTAATTTCCAATCTAATTGCAGCAGCCTGAAAGCAGTAAATTTCTTTTTTTTTTGTTCAAAAGAATTCATAATGAAAACCAAATTTAACAATTAAAATCATCTTTTTATGAAATAAATAAAACAATAAAATCTTTACAATAAATGGGAGCTTTCAAATGGAATGTGCAGATAAATTATCTTTATAAGATAATGGTTTGATAATAAAAGGCCATTACCCAATGTTGGTCACAGTGATCTGGGGTCATGGAAGGGGTAGACTGGGTACAGTCCTAACTTTGGCATTTTTCAAACAAAGTGGTCACCCTCAGAATCGAACCCACATTCTCATGCTTGTCATCCCCAGATTATACCATTATACCAAGTAATGGCTAAGATAATGGTTTGCTACTAAGATGTACTAATTTTGGCAAATCCATAAACTTTTGGCAATACTTGATCTATTATCTCRATGTTAAGGGTGTGTTTGATATCAATTCTGTGCACTGTGGAATGCAAAAACTCTGCAGGCCATACTTCCAGCTAGGTAAGAGGTAACACATACATACTTGGATGATTTTGAACATATGAAATTCCTAGGTCAATTAATAAAAGGAAAGAAATATGTTCCAACACTCACTAGTTGTACTTAATTTTTTTATCAGCTTTTTTCTTTTTCTAACCAATGCATCATAAAATAGTACCATACTTCTTTTGCTAAACAGTGAAATGGAAGAAAGGAAAATAAAATCTAAAAAAAGCCTAGATTTGATGAAAAGGAAAAGCAAAAGAGAAAAAATAAGGAATGTTAAGACAAAATCGAAAGGTAAATTTTCTTTTTGACCTCTTTGTTTTCTCCCCTAAAAGGTAGAGAAAACAAAGGAAAACAGTAGAATGAGAGGAAGCAAAATTCGCCCCACCCTTTTAAGAGAAAATGTTTATTTACTCTTCTTAATGTTTAGTTTATCTTTCTTTTCTATTTTATTTTCTTTCCTCTCATTTTCTTCAAAACTAACATAGTGTAAATGTTACCACTTAGTGAAAAATTAAGAATACCTAGTATCAGATCTATGGTGCCAAAGTGAAAATTTTGAAACAACAGTAGTACCTGGGCAATATGTTTTGCAGAGATGAGTTCAACCATAACAAATGATGCATGCCATCCTTGCTTTAGGCCAAAGATTTCGAGAAGACCGTCATCCATATTGGGTTCAACAAAGCCTCTCTGAAAAGTATAAAGATTTCATATATGTAAATATACTTACACACAGAATAACATAATTCCTTGTTAGTCATTAGGAGTTGGGACTACATGGTACAATAGCATAGAGATATACATAATCAAGCAAGAGTGATATTGTAATTTCATATTCTTGCTTATGAAATACATTGAGGAATAGGGGTTTAATGACCTATTCCAGCCTCCAAATATTTTCTTTCTTCTTGACTTTCTCTCTCTCTCTCTCTCTCTTTCTCTCTTTGTCTCTCTCAATCCATTTCTTCTCTCATGGTTTCCAAATTAAATTCTTTCATCCGCCATTCAGAGTTTTTGTTTTAACAGATTGCTAAAGAAGTTTAGGATGCAGTAGATGTTGAAACATATCGTCAACAAAATATATCATGGATTTATTAGTCATACCAAAAAACAGGTCACCTTCATTGGGGGAGGGAAAATTGGCAGAATATTTCTACTCTTTGAAAGATGTGAGAAGAGATAGATCACCATCAACTCTTTAAGTTGGAAYGTATTGTTGTTGCGAGAACTGTTCTTGTTGGGTTGAACTCAGATTTTGAGTTGGTGCATGCACAGCTTGTAAGTAGGGAGAAGTTGCCTACCTGGACAGGTCTATGCATTGGTCCAGGRTGAAGATAGTAGGAAAGTGGCTATGAATAAAAGTCTTACTACCGAGAGTCGATAGATCAACCTTAGCTATAGAAAAATGAGGTAAATTAGAGATCAGATGCTTCTAAGGAAGTTTCAAAGGAAATAGGCAGTGCAAAATTGTCAATGTGAACATTGTGAAATAAGAAACATTCCAAATATACGTACTATGAATTGCATGGGATGTTGGCCCCAACAAAAGAGAGCAAATAATGCTTCTAAAGAAGACTTTACAAGTGAAGCTCCTTAAAAATATTAGCAGCCTACTTTGTCCAAATACAATATAACTCTTGACCACACCAACTATTCTTGAACTTCTACTACTAGTACTTGGGCCATCGATTTTGGTGCTTCTAACTCTGAATTCAGCCCAGCAAGGAACTCAAACACTTTATTTGTTTCAATCAACTTCCTATATGTCGCTGCATGCTCTCCCACTCAATCGTCTCTAAGTGGTCAATCTCATGCCATAAAGGTTTCAAAGTAGAGAAGAAACTGATACAGGTTTCTCCCCCTGCTTAAGATTATTTACTTCACTGTTCAATTTATAAACTCTAGCAACATTGAGAGGCTGAGAGTATGTCTTCCATGTTTTCCCAAATCTCCTTAGCTATCTTCACCTACAAATAATTCCTACTAATGTGAAGCTGCATAGAATTGCATAACCAACTCGTTACCATATAATTTTCTTGAACCCATTTAGCATGAGATGGGTCTTCCTTGGCTGGCTTCTGAAAGCTGAACCACTGTAGTCGAAGTAGCAGAAAAGAGGAGAAGAAGAAAAGATGCTGGAAAATGTCGAACTGTACTTGCAGTCGACCATGCCTTTATTTATATATAAGTGAAGTACAAAGTACAAGAATTTACTGGGATACCCCTGATTAGTGATGGGACACCCAGAAGACTTAAGACATAAACAAGATTAAGCCCATTAGCAAAGGCCCAGATACAAGATAAGTTTAACATAAGAATGGGCTAAAAGGAATTCTTATAAGCCAAACACACTCAAGCCTTCTAACATATCATTCTAACACTCCCCCTCAAGCTAAACATGGATATCAATCATGTTTAGCTTGCCAAGTATGTCCTTGAACTTTGTAGTTGCCAACCCTTTTGTTAATACATCTGCAATTTGCATTTCTGATGGAGTATAAGGCACACAGAGTTCCCCTGAAACAATTCTCTCTCTTACAAAGTGTTGATCAATTT